TATTTTTTCAATCTTTTTCCCTTTTTTTTTTTTTTTTTTTTTTTGCTAAAAGTGTTATTTCAGAGCGAGGTGGATTCTTCTCGGCTGTTTTTTCCCTCCCCCCGTTCTTTTTCCCCTCCCCCCCCACTAAAATCCGAGCTATCCAGCCTCTCGTTCCCAAACCTGCCGGGAGTTGGCTGTCGCGATGTACAACACGGTGTGGGATATGGACCGCGATGACACGGACTGGAGGGAAGTGATGATGCCATATTCCACTGAGCTGATATTTTACATTGAAATGGACCCTCCAGGTAGGGAGCCGAAGCCTTCGTGCTGCCCCCGGGGGCTCCCGTCCATCCATCCATCCATGCATCCATCCCTGCCCTCCCTCCTCCTGCAGGCTTGCCCCTTTTGGAATAAAAGGAGAGGGGGAGGGGGGGAAATAATTAATATCTGTAGTTAAACTTTGTGTAAACTTTCCAGGGACTTGAGCCCTCTGTCTCCTGGGCAAAAGTATTTTAATGCTGTTTTTCCTGGGGGGAGAGGTGGGAGGATATCAGCAATTTATGGTGCCTTTTGGGAGGTGGAAGGAGCGCGAGGAGGAGAGCTGTTCGCTGCCCCTCTCATGAGTCTCCTGTTTTTAAAGCCTTTATTGAAAAGAGTATATTTCGGCTGTATTCGCTTCTAGAGGAGCTCTTTTATTATCCTCTTCACCTGTGTGCCTTTATGTGCCTGTAACCTTTGATGGTGGTGATTTACCCACCTCCATTCAGTCCCGGTTTAATCGCTTTTACAGGCTCTTTTCTCGCCTGCTCTCCTGACAGATGAGCTGTGTATCGTCGCTGGGTTTTGGTGCTGGCGGGGGATAATACTAGGGAACAGGCTGAAATGCATCCCTGGAGGCACTGGTACTTTGATAACACTTAATAACCTTGTTCAAAAGGCTTCGATGCAACTTTATTTCCCCCTCCTCGATGGGTTGCCGGTGCTGAAAACGGGGAAATGCATTGTCCCTTGCTTGCCTGAAGTCCTTAGATGGGACAGAAAGTTTCTTTTGTGTCTGAAGACTGAGGGAAGGCTTACAGGGAGGAGAGGCTGAGTCTTTCTTTGGTAATGAATTTAAATAAGTGTAAATGGGTACTGGTGAAATTGTATCTTTACCTGTAAGAGTCTAACAGGCTGAGAGCTGTAAGGTAATTGAAGGGCCTTTATCTTCTCAGGTCTCTGATCTGTACAGCCAGAAGGCACAGTAAAATACGCCCCAAAAATCTTAGTATGCAGAGAAATTGATAGCAAATAAGTACTTCCCAAGTGGTGTCTTCTGTGGGGCATATACTTTCCAAGTGTGCCTTTCAACCTGTGCCTGAATCATGGCATGTATTTGCAAGTGTGGTTTAGTCTCTTTGTTTCAGCACAGTGAGCTGTAGTTTTCTCTCTGGACCTATGTGGTACTTTAATTAAGAGGAAGAAGTGATCATCCTGAGATTTTTGGATCTCAAGGACCTGTATTTTCTTCCTCTAGTAACTCTGATGCTTTAAAAATTGGACAGATCTCTGACACACAATACTAACCACTACTCAGTAAATTCTTGCATAGCTGACACTGTATTTTTAGATGTTACCCCTGAAAGCCTAAAGTTCAGTCAAATCTGTTTGCTTCTGTGAATTTCAAGGGGTATCTTTCTTGTTAATGCTTTTAACTATTCATGAGGTTAATATTTGTGTGCGTGCTTGTATCAAGTGAGCAAAAAAGGTCCCATTGCAGGTGACTTAAATTAAGTGGTGTGGGGTTTTTATCTAAAAAATAATAAGCCCCTTGAACGGCTTAGTGCAAAGAGACTGTTAGAAGGAGCTGGCAGAACCGAACTGGTCAGGAAACAACTTTCCAGTGTTTCTGCAGGAATTTGGCTGTGCAAAATTCTTAGGAAGCTTGACAAAGTTCACATTAAGAAGCAGCTCTTCCATCATTAATAATGCCAATATGTCCATCATTGAAGCCCTCTTGTCAGGGTTCAAGGCTCTGCACAGTCCAACCTCCAGTTAGCAAGAGGACTGAATGCTACAGGCTGATCCCTGAAGTGTTCAGTAACTTTATCTTTCATATTTTTAAACTAGAAGAGCCAGAGCTGGAAACGATGCGTGGGATAATCCCCATGTGTATGTCCTGATTTTGCAGAGCTATAACTTTTAAATTGCAGGGGGAGGGAGAGTGTGGCAGAAGGGGGTCTGCTTTTTCCCTGGCCCGAGGTGGGGTGGGAAAGCGTTGTCTGGTCTGGGATGATAGGTCATCCCTAAGGGGAGTGTGGAGGAATTTATTTGGAAGGCTTAAACATTCGGCATGCCTTCGGATAAAGTCACTGCGCTTGCACCCGGTAACAGCCACAACTCCATTTGGAATGCTTCCAACAAAAATTTGCGAAGGCTTTCAGTGCAGCCTTCCCCCACGCCGTGGCCGGAGCTCCTGAGCGGCTGAGTGGTGGCAATATGTTTCCTCAGCAGCACACAGAGCAGCAGCCTGCAGCGAGTGTCCCCGCTGCCGAGGCAGGCAGTGCACTCTTTTGTTCCCAGAACTTGCGTGAAGGGATCCCTGGTTGGGCTTTGTGCCGCAGCCCCGGCGGATCCTGCGAGCCGAGTGTCCGGGCTCACGCGTGACTGCTTGTGACTGCGTTTTACTGGGTCTAAACTCGAGGCAGAAGACAAAAGCAAGGTGAACGTAACGTGCGGTGTCACCCGTGACCTCCGAGTCAAGGGTGGGGATACTGTTTCTTGTTAAGGGCCGGTAGACCTTTAATTTATCTTGGCAGCCTGTCCCAATACCAACCTCAGCGCTGCCCAGTAATAATGCAGAAATAAAATCTGGTGATGGCAGGCAGCCTGCAGCGCAGCCGGAGCTTCTGTCAGGCCTCAGTGCACCTGCACCGGCTTATCAGTGCTCATGTTTGCTGTTCAGGGTTGGAGGTGTAAATGGATGTTCAGGGCAGGTCCTGAAGCCTCTCTGCTAGGAGGCTTGCTCTGAAGTTCAAAGATGATAACAATGCCTCTCTCACACATGAATTTTCCCCAACTCTAGCAGAGGCAAGGCCAGGCAACAAGGGGTTGCAAGCTTTCTGCTAGCCTTTAATCCATCCTAAACATAGGAGTGGGACAGTTTTTCCAGAGTGGTGGAACTACGGTTTCAGCTCTGCCAGCTTCACAAAGCATAATTTAGAGCAGTACAACTAACTTAGGAGCCACAGTGGTGACAAACAGCAGGGTGACTCCTGTTACCCAATGCTTTTTCCTTCTGCTTGCATGTATAAATGCAAAATGAAATGTGTCACTGGCACAAGGTAGGATCTCTTTGTGGCAAATAATACTACGTGGAGCAAATAGCTTTCAGTATCTAAAGACACAACTGCGACCATCAGTTGCATATAGCTAACACAGCAGCTTCTCAACTTTCTAATGATGGATTAAGTTAGAGTATTATGGCCATAGCAGCATCATGTGCTGGTTTTGGCATTAGGAAACTGTCTGTCAGGGGTTCACTCACATGTTTGCTCTTGTGTGAGTCTTGTTGTCTGAAAAAGACAACAAAATAGATTACTGAATTGAATTTAGTTTTGATTTGACATCTGTTCAGGTCTGCAAAAAGCCATTATGCCAGAAGTTAAGTTTTTGAACAGAGGATGTTGAACTGAATGCAAAAGTTAACCAGAGTACCAAAAGCACCACTACCTATGTATTGTCTTACTGCTAATTAGAAGGACTAAGTAATGTCTTTCCCTCTGTAGATCTGGGATATATTATCAGTTGTGATAAAATGTGTAATCACTGAATACATTTTGTCACAGTTGGATGAAAAGCAGTAAGAGTGTTCTGCTGGGATTTCTGATACAGATGTCAGCAAAGATATTTGGCTCAACTGCAAATTAGAGGTTAGTTTTATTCGTGTGGGTTATGAAGAAAACCACAAGTTTAAAGTAGGCTTCCTAATGCAGAATGGGCTCTGTCTGTGAATAGATAGTACAAGAACTGTTTGACCTAAAACTATAGGAAAGTTACCTTTTTGAAGCCAGTTAGGCCCAAATATGACCAACAATGTTCATAACTTGCTCCAGCTGTCTTTTTCAATAATACTACTTTGCCTTGCCTCATGTGCTGAGAATGGCTGTGACAGTGCTGTTGCTACAAAAGCTTTTAATAATTAAGGTGGGGAGCAGCAATAATCTATAGGCTGCTCAGTTTAGTCTGCTTTGCAAAAGCAACACTGCCATTGTATGAGTGAGACGAGTATTCAAGGGGAAAACTGTATTTATTCATTATAGTTTCTATTTTCTCCTCATATATAATTTGACAACCCTTATTTTAGAGGAGTGATACTATAATTGTAATTTGGAAAACACAGGGTTCTGAGCTCCAGGGCAGTGTTTTCTGGGATACCAGGCTTGCTGTATCATTATCAATGTTATAGTGGAAACTGAATGTGGCTTCTCAAATAGAGTTTGTGGTACGCGGTAGCCAGATGTAGGTGAACACAGCCTGTCTATGCCTGACTAGTTTTCCAGTGGGAGAACAGATGCAAATTTTAATAGCGTTGTCAGTATTGTCCTTCAGCTTATCTGAGTTGATTCCAGAAGCTTATCAAAGTAAAGTTCTGCTCTTACACATCTTGAAGGGGAAAAAAGTAGTGCATATAGTTGAAACAACAGCACTGTAGCTGCAACTGCCTTTTTTGCAAATTTAAGTCTTACTGAAAATCACATTTCCAACAAAGCAGATGTTGGGATTTGAGAGTTTCCTTATTACAGAGGGGAAGATTGTGCAGGCTAGTTTGGGGTAGAGCAGGGAGTAAATAAGGCTCAGTCACCTGGATTCTGCATACCCTGGAAAATTATTTGAATTGGATTCTCTGCTCCTGTGAGGACAGTGATGTGAAATGCTTATATTCTCTTGTTCTTACACCTAGATTTCTCTACTGGCCTTTTCATTTAATGACTGCTGTAACCATTTTTTATTTCTGATTGCATTTTCAGGCTTGCTTTTGCATTCCTTGCATTTCGTTTGCATTCTGATGGCTCTAACTGTTAAAGAATATCACTCATCAGCTTTCGATTAAATACATGAACACAAAAAATAGCAGCATTAATATAAAACAAAACGATGTTCTGCTTGAGTTGAGAGAGCCTGCTTCAAAAGGCTGACATTTTTATCAGTAGGCTTTCAGCTGATGTGGAAAGAGTTGGGGAGGGAAAGCTTGCTGAAGGGAGTAGTTCAGCTCTGTAAAGCTAGAAGCTCATGCAAACTAAAACACGAGGGAGCATTCTGAGAA